TTCATTGCTCAAATTTGAGAAAAAATTATGAACATACGTTGTGGGATATTTCTAATGTATTAGAAAGAAAAAGTTTTACGCATTGTGTCGAAGCTTAGTCAGTTAAATCAAGTCTGCTTAAGAAATTGATGTGGTATTGTTAAGATTTTTACTGCTTTAATTAACTGAGTTAATGGTATTAAAATGAATTTGCTTGAGATAGACGATATTTTTGATAATTATGGTAAAATTATGTTCGTAATTAACGAACCTATATCGTTGATGAACGTGTAGACCACATGAATAAATGGAATGATGCCGAATTTTTCAGCAGGTTTCGATTTTCAAAAGAATCAGTTCGTCTTATTCTAAACGAAATAATTGAAATCCTTGATAAAGACAGATTGATGTAAGTACATAATTTTTTAAATTTTTTATGTTACAATTATGTAATGATTTTTACGTTTTACTTTCTTAAAGGTACAATGAGGTAGATCCCCTCAAACAACTTCTGTTAACCCTTAGATTCTACGCTACAGGAAGTTTTTATAATGTCCAAGATAATTTTGCAGGAATATATAAAACAATACCAGGACGGATAATCCAGAAAGTTACAGCATTAGTAAATTTACGAGAACGTTATGTACATATGCCACAGACAGAAGAAGAAAAAACAGAAGGATATGCGGATTCTGACACAACCATGAAATGGAGATGTTTCCGTACTTGGAAATGACTAGTCAGAATGCCTGTGACTAGGCGCAGATTCTGTCTAGTCATAGTCAAGCAATCTTAACTAACTCAATCGAACACCGCCTATGTAAATAATGCAGAGGGCACAGTTATAGATTGGCACAAAATAATATGATATTATGAATTGATGGTACTTATTTTTGATATTTAAAAGATGTGTCAGGTACATAGAAATAGTATAGAAAGCCGATTCCATATATCAAAAATGAAACCATAAGGAGAAAATAGTGTGTCGGAGCTCATGCGTATAACGGTGCTGGCGCGAACAGGATCGGTGCAAGTTTTTTATTGATCGAACAAATAGTTCACACATTTCAATCATACATTTTTAGAGATGATTCTATACAAAAAACGATTAAAAAAATTTCAAGTTAAGGTAAATATGGTTGTGACAGTCCTTATTAAGAAAGATATGGCATAAAATATGAATTAGTTAATTTTCGGCAATCATTAGTACAGTAGTCATGAGATTTTGCTTGTGATTTTAAAAATACTTTCCAGAAAAACCACGTGCTCCGGTTTTGACTACGTTTATTATTAAACAGCGAAATTATATACAAAAACTTTAATCCACAATCTAAATTAGGTACTATCACAAGAAAATCACTGTTACAATAATTAATTACTTAACCAAAAACTAAAATACTTTTTAGGTACCTACGTAACCAGAAAGGAGCTGGACCATTTATCCTAATATTGATTTTCTCTCTCCCTACGGTAAAACTTAAAACAATAACAAATTGCCTATCTACTAGGGTCGGTAACTAAACGAATATACATAATGGGCGGATTTTGTTTATACTTAACATTACACTCGCGCATTTAAATATAACTATGCATATAAATATTTACAAACAAAGATACTTTTCCAAACAGGCAATCATTAGTACTGTAGTCACGAGGTTTTGCTTGTGATTTGACATCTTATTTGATAATATCATTTGCAACAACTAAATTTAATCTGGGGAGTGCAAAATAGGGCCCAGGAATATTATGTTCGATATTTTTTTACATTTTGTCAGCCGAGACTATGAGTCGTTAGACAGAAAACCTTTCATGTTACCATTTTCAATATAAATTAAAAAATTAAAAAATACTACTACATTTACTTGGTACATATTTTATTTTAATTTTGAACCTCGATCAATTTAATACAAAGATTTAAAGTTTTTAGTCGATAATAACATTCCACACCAGCACATTGCAAACCTATTTTATAAATAATAGGAATAAACTTACTTGTAAATCATTAATTTGGTAGTTATCTCACTCATATGATTTTTTTGTTTATATGACTATTTCGATTTCTAAATATATTTTGGCCTTACAATACGAAGCGTTTTGTATCTACCACTTTTTTAATGAACGATGAATGTTGACAGGCGTGTACCTTTTTCGGAACAAGAGGCGTTTTAACGAAGGAAATGATTTTTGAACTATCTAGTTAGTTTTCGGAAAAATAGAAAACGTTTGAAGAAAGTTGTCAATAACAGTTTGTCGTTCATGTGTTTAATTTTGATTAGCTTTCGTACTAAATTGCGTAGAATATTTTTCCGATTCAAAATCGAGATTCTCGATATTTCCACAGTTTATTTATAATACCTTCTAAACTGGATTTATCTATCATTTTATATACTTTATAATATATGTTCATGCCCTACTTTTCACTTTATTAACAATTTTTTTTTAACATACTTCAAAATGGTAGGATATTCTTAATTCGTTGAAATATTTTTTTAAGTACGTTGAGCGATAATTCTTTACCACGTTGCCCGATTTCTAGGATTCTTTTTGTTAGAAAAGGAAACAGTTTTATATACATTAAGTCAAGATCTGAAGATGGGATCCATAAGAAAATCATTAACATCTTTATTTTTAAAGTAGGTTTTTTTTTTAATTTCTTTAAACCTTACTGGTTCGAACGCGGTAAGGAATGAAGAAATGTAAATAATTGTTGTGCCAGCCAAAAAGCGAATAGGAAGTACCGATTAAAATATCGAGTGACAGAAGAGTTCCTAAGATTGTTGAGATCGGGTTTATGTTTTAAAATGCCTTAAAACCGATATCGATAATGTCTCCCCGTCGCTGGGGAGCCTGTATTTAAATATACAGCTCTCTATTTACATAATTATAATTCTTAGGTAGGTTTAGATTTGCAGACATAAATCTTGTAATAAATATAACAGCTGCCTAATACATTGATTACATTTTCATTAGCCAATGTAAAAATGTCTTTTAGTGTACCTAGGATTTGACTAAACACTACACAAAACTAAAAATAAAATGCCACTTTCATCAAGTAATTAATGCCGCGTTTGAGAATCCACATCGGATGCATTTTTTACATCTCTAGCGTTTTTTATCCACATCGGACACATCTGTCCCATTACATTTACGTATACTGAATCACGTGATCAAAGATTTACTACTACTACATCTCAGATGCATCCGATGTGGATTCTCAAACGCGGCATAAATAATAAACTACAAACGGTCCTGTAAGGGCAACGTCATATAGCCTTGAAACACCGGATTTTAGTGCTATTGCCAGGTCAATATTGAATTTGTAGGTGAATCGCTTATTGAACATTAAAAATACGGTATTAATGACATTAATACGGTATTTGTATATATTTTTGGGAATGTAATTACACATAAATATTATTAGTTGATTATTTAAATGTTTATAAGTTATTTTGTGGCGATATTTCGTAGATATAAACTGTTTAAATCATATAATTTAAAAATTAATTAATTTAAAATTCTTTTCTGTTAGGTATGTTTAATATATTTGGCAACACTACAGGGACAAGTCATGCATATTGCGCAAGCTTCTAGACACACTATTTTGCGATGTCAGGCGCAGAGACGCGTTTTTATGCACAGTAGGTTTCAATTTCTGCTTAAATGTTATGTTTATATTGGTCTTCTATATTATTTCTATGGTCAGGTATAGGAACACTGTCAGCTATTGATGCCACTACCTTATGTATTTTTGGTTGTAAAAATAAATGCACAATATTTTGTTAAATAGTTTTATTTGTACAATAACGTTTTAAACACAAACATGTGTTATTAACTAATAATGTAAAGTAAAACATTAAAAAAATGCAAAATTTCCATTTTTAGAAGATTTTCTGAAAACTATTAAAAGAAAAAAACAAAAATTTGAAAAACTGGCTCCAGATAAACGGTTTTAACCTTCTCCTACAGATACATGTTTTTTCACTAAAAATAAAACAATTATATGGTTGGATTTTTCACATCTGAATCTCCCATAGACGGTAATCCCGAAATGCATAATTTCAAATGAGCATATAACTGCTCTTCATACCAGAGCAATTTTATCAGGTCCACCACTAGTTCCATTACAATTGTTATTTGATTAAGTCATTTTCAATTTTAATGTTCTTTTAATATTATCATATTTTATTTTCAGTGAATTGATATCTCTAAAGTTGTCTGATACCCTATTAAATCTGCTTGCAATTCTTCCATACGCATCTTTTTTATCCCTTTGGCTTACTACGCCAGTTGCTTTTCCTTCAATTATGTTTATTTCGCATAGAATGAATTTCATAAAAATGTTTTATTTTGGTTGAAATTGCTGCCTCTTTCCTTTTTTTCGTCCTTTCTTCTATTTTCTCGTTATAATTACACTAAACACTTTTATAATATTTAACTCAAATTCAACTGACCCAGCAAAAATAAAAAGAATTTAAAATGTTTAAAATGTCATGTTGAATGTCAGTGTCCAATATCGAAAGACACATTTACGTTTGGAACAAGATGATTCAGAATTCAAAACCATGGAATTATAAGTACAGAGCCAATAATTCTGATTAAAGTTTTAATTGATGAAAAAAGATGATGTTACATATAACAGAGGCACGCCCACATTTAATCATGATTAAGGTATAACCATTACGTAAAGTACCGAAATTCTGTGTTAAAATTTGATTTTTTGTTAAATTAACTTAATCAGCTCACAAAGTACTGGGCCTTAGAATGGTTAAATGGTCTAAATCAATACTGTTAAATTTAATATTTTAAGATAAACATAATTTTTATCATTAGACTTTTTGACAATAACTTTAGGAAGTTAAATTAATTAATATAAGTTCACTTTTTAAAATTATAATCTCTTTTTGAAGAATTTTGGAATTGGAAGTAGCTTAGGTACCAACCCAAAACATTTAATTTTAACAGCAAACTCCAATTATTATCTTTTTCGAATGTTCGTTATTTTAGGCATATTTATTTTTCAGATGCTATTAACAACATCAGCATCTCTGGACCTATTCATACTTCTATTTGCATTATTTTTCATTTTACACAAATATATTTCAAGATCACATGAATATTGGTCCAAAAGAGGAGTCGATACGCCGAAACCTCTTCCCATATTTGGCCACTTTTTGAAAGTAGCTCTCTTCAAGACAACCCTCGCAGAATGGCTAAAAGATTACTACGATGCCGCCAAAGGAAAATATTTTGGACTCTATGTCTTTGATGAACCTTTTCTGGTCATAAAGGATCCAGAGATAATAAAATATGTAAGTTTAATCTTAATTTACTACTATGTAATAACATATTGTCGCTGATCGTGAAATACCTCCTATGTGTAAAAATATGAATTTTACAGGAGGAAGAAAAATCAGTTTATTTCTGTTGTTTCGCATTAAATTAGTGTTTAATATAAAAACAACAAAAAAAAAATAACAAAAAACTTCGGAAAAAAAATTAAAATGTGCTAGAACAGTGTATAATGCCTATTTATTTAAAAAACGTAGAATTCTACTGAATAGGAGATTTAGACATAGGAGAATTTTTCAAAGAATTTTAGGCACATTTTTTAAAACCCACTTTATTAGAAACGTAAACAATCTTATGTAGAAGGCACTTTAAATATTACATGGCATTAACATCAATATAAAACTGAACTAAAATAAATACACGTTTAAAGAAAAACAAAAATACAAATTAATTTTACAGTTTATTACATTTTTGTTAATTTTTTATTTTTCTTAAAATTTTGTGTATATTTATTTGCGACTTCTCAGTCGGTTTTTTCTTGTCGGGTTCTTTCTTAGAACTTGTTTTGTTTCCAGTCTTTCATTTTGGTTTTCAGCTGCATTTTCAGAGGACAGCTTCTTATCTTCTTGTGACTTTTCAGTTGGTTTCTTGTTGCCGGTTTGTTTTTTAGAACTCCCCTTTTATTTTCAGTTTTTTCCTCGGGTTTTCTATTGTGGATTCAGCTGCATTTTCACAAAATAGCTTATTTTTGATCTTTTTGTCGGGTTTAAATGACATCTTTAAATTTAGATTCTGATATAGGCAGTCGTTTGTCATAAAGTTGTGTTAACCTTCCCCTGTCAGTTGCAGACTGAAGACGTTGCGTGAGTTCTTGCCAGTCTTCTTTGAAATGCATCTTGTACCACATAATTTCTTCTATGCTGTATTTGATTTTACATAAATTAACTACTACTGGATCTCCAACAGAATTACCAGGTGTAAGAGAAACGAGATTGCTTGTTAATGCGTCATATTTTTTTGAAAAAAATCAAAATCAATAACCTTAACCACATAGGGTTGTTTAGGTCTAGCAAATCTCATTGTAACTATATAAGCGCTGGGTGAATTAATAGGAGGATAAAAAAGTTGTTCTAAGGTAGCGTGAATACTATTCACTTCCATCATTGTGTGACCCTTAGTAAGGTAAATCTGCTCTATGGTGACATTATGCTGAACAAGTACTGCCCAAAACTCGGTTTCGGTTTTGATATCCACATCCATCCGATATCAAAGTCATAATTTTGCATTATACAAAAAATTCAAGATGCAAGTAGTAAAATTCGTTGGAAGTAACACATCCGTTTCCCTTGTGCCAGACATAGAGAGTGACATCTCCATTTTTGAGGTTGTATGTTGTAAAATTGTGTATTTGCAATTTAGTTTTGTAGTATATGGCAGAATATAATGCTTTAGGACACAAAAGAACACTTTGCAGGTCCATGGTAATTGCTAAGTGGTCATTATTTCCTATTGCACTAGCTTTGATAGTATTTTTATCGCCTCTGGCATCATTCTTTCTCTGAATGTGAAGCTGGTACTCTTCTTCAGGAATATACCCAAGTTCAAAAGATGTTATATTGGTCCTTTCGTGGCTTATGTATGACAATATTTTCGTCCTTTATTACATTTTTTAGTAGTATAATGGATGCGGGTTCGATTTGTCTTTCTAGATACCATTTCACATACTCTTTATCAGTGGCGGCTTGTGGCCAAAATTTTAGGGGTTTACAGTGACAGAATATAGATATTAGTACAGATATATGAAAAAAACTTTCAGTGTTTTAGAAATTTTATAATATACCTTTCTAAAACACTAACATTTTTTTATCTACATCTGTTTTGAAAGCTATATTATGCTACTGTAAACCCCCAAAATGTTGGTCACAAGCCGCCCCTGCTCTCTATGCATTTGCGCTTTGGAGTAGAAAATTCCACATGAACCTTTTTTGATTATTTTCTGCAGTAGCTTTTGGTGCTTTTGGTAACAATTCAAGCCAACCTTTATTGGATTGTTTATCTTCAATTTTCTTTTTCTTTCTTGGAGACTGCCCAATTACTACTTTAACAGTAACCACATGTACATGCCTTTTTACCCATCTCTTAAAGGTATCTTCACCAAGGCAAAATGTATTTAGGAAAACAACACGACAGATTCGAACCTTTTCGCCATTTTCTCTTGGCAGAAATATATCATGACCTTCCATTTTTTGGGAGGTTCATTTTTTAAGGAGATTTATTTTTTTTTTTTGGGAGATTTAGTTTTTTTTTTGGGAGATTTAATTTTTTTGGGAGGTTTCTGTTGTTTTTTTTTCTTCTTCACTATCATCTTCTGATTCTTCCATTGATACTATTGTATTTACTGATCGCGGCCTCCTCTTTCTTATTTTTCTTATGCTTACTAAACCCTTGATTAACATTTTCTTTACTGGCCATGTAGTCAAACTCCAAAAATACTTGAAAAGATCAGCTCTGTTTTTTCTGAAATTAAACTGCAAAGAAACGTTCTTTCACTTTTTTTTATCATTGTTATGACCACATCTATTCCCTACCTTTCTACTTTCTTTAGGTATATCTTGAATAGTACCTATGGTAACTTTTTTAGCCAATATAATCATGTCCCAAAACTCTATTCTTAGCAGAGCTCTTTTTCTCGTTTCGCAGTTTTTATTTTTGACCCCATTTTCCATAATATCTATTTTGCCATAATTACTGTCTTCAGAGCCTGATGCACTATTTCCAATTTCCTTGGTTATTTGTGCTCCAAAAGAATCTTCTAAATTACGGGTCTCTTGTACCTGTGGAATTGTAGTATTACCTGTACTCTTTGCCAAAGTACCTTCCACATTATTTTCGCAGCTAATTATAATATTCTGAACAGATTAAAGCTCAGTTATCATAGGTGTATCAACTTCATCTACTTCAGGTTCAGGTTGTTCCAGTTGTGTAACTTTCCCATAATTTTAGACAATGTAAGGTTCAATTTGTTCAGATTGTGTTACGTCCATGTTATTTTCACAGCTAAGCATAATATGCTGAATTGATTGGAGCTTAGGATATTCTAGTAGATTTGTATCACGTACAGAGATAGGACCTTCAAAATCCATCTGGATTTTTGGGGTGGTAGTTTCTAAGGTGCTATTTTTTAAAACCTAGTTCTGCTGAAATTCTATCGGAGTCGTCATTATATCAAAACTCTGACTTCTGTTATCATCGGCCAATATAACGTCCATCTCGCTAATACTAGCCTGAAAACAAGTTTCATCCGACAAGTTCATATTATTATTTAATATAAATAAAAAATTCCTTGGTTTATTAATATTATTATTTACTAATAATTGCTTTTTTTGATTGGCCACCACAATACCTTCAGTTTTTTGCCTCATCATTGAAATTAGCTTCTTGCCACGGCTTTAAATTACATGAATAAACAATTAAAAGAATTATTATACAAAGTGGCCACTTTTTTTGTACGCCGCAAAGGGATAATTCCGGTAGTTTCTCGAAGCGGTGCGTTTTTCTCTATATGGCCAGCGCTAAACTTCATACCGCGGGCACAGAGTAAACAGGGAATAGGGACGGCTTTCTCGTCATAATATTTCATTTAAACCAAAATTATTTCATAGTCACCGAAGTCGATTTTAATATCTGAAACAAAAAAAATATCCAAATGCTAAACATAATTTTAATGTAATAATCATTATTGCATCCCAATCAAGAGTATCATATAATTTTAGATCACCACAAAAGATTTTAACTATTTTATGGATAGAAACATAGCAGCTCCTAGTCATGATGTCTTACAACGACACATACTGTTTCTTCAAAAAAGTCCTGGATGGAAATCTATTAGAATTAAGCTCACTCCAGCTTTTACGTCTGGAAGACTTAAAGCCATGTTTCATTTAATTGACTCGTGCGGACAGGAACTTGAAAATTGGATTAGCCATAATTTAGGAATTTTGGAAGCAAAAGAAGTTGTTGCGAAATATGCTACAAATGTCATTGCGAAATGTGCTTTTGGTTAGTATTACTTTGGTATTTTTATTTATTTAAGAAAGTAAGTGGCTATGTAGGTATTTCTGTAAACTTTGAAAATATAAATACGACATTTCATTGAAAACTATCTACTCTAGATAATTTTAAAGAAAAAGCGCAACAAAACAAGAAACGCAACTTTCAAACGAATAAATTACACTAGAGGTACCCACTTTTGAAAGCAAGTAGTAGAGAAAAATAGAAAATTTTAATAATATACCATGTGATCTATTAAAAACATAATGCATGGTCATGGAGGGGGGAGGGTGACAGTTATAACGAGTATAAATATGCAAAAAGATGTACCCCTTTAAAAAGTATTTAATAAAAAATACTAAGAAACCTTACTTGTTAAAGGTTAGAAAGCATCAATGTAAAACAAGACACAACGTATTAATGAATAATTACTAGTACATTCAAAAACGTAAGAAAGACCTTTAAAGAAAGACCTTTAAAAAAAATAGTGAACCAGGAAATATTGCAGATATTAATCCTAATACTACGAACCTTACAAAATGGTATTGTATCTGTATCTATTACGTGTGGAAGGTGGGTTAAACCACGGCACGTAGGCCTCACTAGGTCCATTGTGCATCCTCCTAAGTAGATAGTCACCTCCTAGCTCGTGAACTAGCCAACATATTTTAAATTGTATTGTTATTTTGGTATGTTTGCAATTTCCTTATTTTTTTGTAGTGATAAAATATGTTCCAATTTTTAATATTCAATTTTTATGTTCCAATTTTAACAGTCCAAAGTTTAAGCTCCAGGTTTTTAAGTTTTGTGTTTTAATTTTTCTTATTCTAATCTTTATGTTCCAATCTTTAAGGTTTTAATTTTTTTCTTCCGTGTTTTAATGTCCTGATTTTTTATTCAAATTTTATTTTTCGATCAATTTTTTTGCAATTTTTGTATTCTAAACATGTTCTATTTTTTATGGTTACAATTTTATATTTTAATTTTTGATTTTACTTTTCTTTATTCTAATTTTTATATTCAAATAATTATTATATTTCTGTTCATGTTCCAATTTATAAATTTCATTTTTTATGGTTCAAATTTAATATTTCACCTTTAATGTTCCAACTTTTCATTCCAATTTTGATAATCCAATTTTTTATTCAAATTTTTTGGTTCCAATTATTATTATTATAGTCCAGTTTTAATTTTCCAATTTTTGTGTCTTAATTTTTATTTTCCAATTTTTATGTTTTAATTTTAGGTTTCAGATTTAATCATCCAGTTTTTACGGGTTAGTGTTTAATGTTCTAACTATTATATACCTACCAATTTTTTAAGTTTTAATTTTTTACGTTCTATATTTATGTTCCATTTATTTAATTTTTTTGTTCTAATTTTGAACCCCAAATTTTCAGTCTATTTTTTATTTTACCATTTTTATATTCTAATTTTTATGACTCAATTTTTATTTTACTTTCTGTTACAATTTTTATGTTGCAAGTTTTATGTGTTCTAGTTTTTATGTTTAATTATTGTTTCAGTTTGTATGTTCAAACTTTTTAATTTAAAATGTTTCATATTTCAATTTTTATGTTCAAATTTATGTTCAAGTTTTTTTTAATCTTAATGTTCGAATGTTTAAGGTTAAATTTTTTTGTTTTAATTTTTATGGCCAAAATGTTATATTTCGATAATTTTCATTTCTTATTAATTTGTTCCAATTTTAATGTCACAATTTTTATATTTCAATTTTTATGCTTTAAATTTTATATTCCTATTTTAATTTCCAAATGTTTGTTCCATTTTAGATATACTACTTTTCATTCCAATTTTTATGTTTCAATTTTTGTATTTCAATTATTATATTCCTATTTTAATGTTCCAATTTTTATGTCTAAATTTTTTATTTTCCAATTTTCTATGTTTCAATTATTATTCATTAACTTTAGGTTCTATCTTTTTTGTTTCAACTTTGATGTCCCAATTTTTTATTCAAATTTTTTTGTTCCGATTATTAATTTCAATTATTATATTTCAGTTTTTAGGATCCAATTTTTGTCTCAATTTAATTTTTTTAATTTTCTGTCTTAATTACTATACCTCAATTTTTAGGTCAAAACAAGTACAATTTTTAGGTTTCAAATTTTTTCATCCAGTTTTTACGGTTTTCTAATATATTCCATTTCAGAGATTCCAAATTTTATGTGGCAATTTTTGTGTTTCAATTCTTACGTTTAATTTTTTATTAGAATATTATATATTTCAATTTTTTTATTTTCAAGTTTTTAGGTTTTAATTTTTTATTTTCCAAATTAAAGTTTCATTTTTTGTTTTAATATTTATGTTGAATTTTTTTAAATTTCAATTTTGTGGTGTAAATTTTATATTTAAATTTTTATGTTTAAATTTTTATCTCATTTTTTATGATACAATTTTTGGGTTGCAAATTTTATCAATTTTGGTGTTTTTAACTTTAAAATCATTATATTCCGTTTTTAATGTTCTATTTTTTGTTTCAGTTTTTTTAATCTTTGTTCTATTTTTTACTTTTACTTTTTTTGTTTTAATTTGTTTGATCCAAATTTTAAAGTCTCAAATTTTTAGTTAAATTTTTAAATTTCAATCTGTATGTATCAATTCTTTTTCTTTGTGTGTCATCGGTCAACTGCTAAGGTTATTTCACCTCGTGTTTTGTGTAGGCTTTATTACTGCTTCCCAGCGCCACTTTAGGAACAGCACTGTTAATTAGAACCCAACAGTGAATGGGGAATCCACCAAGGTATCAGAATTAATTTTAAATAATTTAATTAATTGATAAAATTCCAGCCAACGGTGGGATTCGAACCACTGAGCCACCCACCCCCTCATCAATTGTTATTTTATAATTTGCTAGGTTTCAATCATAATCCAATTTTTAGTTTCCAAATTTTATATTCCAATTTTTATGTCAAAATTTTCCATTTTCCAAATTTTAATCTTCCAAAGTTCATGATACACATTTTATGTTCCAAATTTTATTGCGTTTTTTTGTTACATCATATATTTAAATAAAAATTATTGTAGGGATCGACTCAGAGTGCTTTCTTCACGAAAAACCGGCTTTTAGAGAAGTAGGCAGAAAATTTTTCGATTTCAGGTGGAGAAATGCACTCTCTCAAACACTTTATTTTTTGAAGCCAAGTTGGATCGACAAAATTAAACTAGATTTTATTGATAAACAGTGCCTGGAGTATTTTTCGAAAGTATTTATAGAGACGCTGAATACCAGGCCTGATGAAGAACAATACAATGATTTTATTGATATTCTGAAGGAGTTGAGAAAAAACAATGAATTTGCATCGGATGGTTCAGGTATTTAAATAATATAATATTTTACTAATTATGTAGATAGGATAATATTAAGTATAATCAGTTTTGTGTTTCAGATGATAGCAAGCTTGCTGGAATAGCTATTCAGATATTTATGGCAGGATTTGAGACTACCAGTACAACAATTTCATTTACTCTTTATGAATTTTGTATGAATACTAAAATACAAGATAAAGCCAGAAATGAGATTAAAACTGTGCTTGAAAAATATGGAGGAAAAGTTACTTATGAAGCAGTACGAGATTGTGTGTATTTGGAAATGTGTATGAACGGTGAGTTGTTATATAATAATTTTTAAGCTCAGATATATTTTACATGTACTCGTATAACTAGGCGTACCTACCAGTAAATATTCCCCTGTTTCCTGCGCATTATTTAAATATAAGTATAAAACACTAATTACAATAATAATTGTTTTAACTGGTGTCCATTATTATTAAGACATGCTACTGCTCATTTTTCTAAGGCAATTAAGGCTGGAACTTATCGGAGTTCAAATTGTTTATTTTATTCGCTTACTGTTTAATTTTATATGTCAAGAGAGTTGCTATATTTATCACTAAGCCAAAAAGATTATGTGCTTGACGTAGAATTTTTCCAGCAGACTTGTGCGCGAAAACCATATCCGTCAGTACAATTTTAGCAAACATAATTGTAAAAAATAATTGTACAAAAAAAATGCGTACTCAAATGCCAATTTGACAACAACGCAACAACATAAGCAACTCAAATAAGTTACGGGTGCTGTTTAACATAGGCTTTGTTTGAAGCCAGTATTTACGAACGTTTGAGAGTTGTAATTTCCATGGGCGTATCAAATGGTGTTTTTATCAAAATCCAAAGGATTGTTTTGTAAATATGTTGTCAACGAGAAATTTATATATAAATAGACAAAGACAAAATGGTTCAGCACCATTTTCTCTTCTGTTTGTGAAACGATTTTCTTTTTTTAATTTTTTTGGCAGCTATTGATAATCTTTAGTGTTTTCAATTTGGAAAAAGTTTTTTTTTAATTTTCTATATACAAAATCCATTAAGTGAGAATTATGAGTTATGATTGACTAATACAGTTATCCTATAGCAAACATGAGCACTCTGTAAATTCGAACTAACATGGACAATATTACATAGACGGATAGAAGATCGTGAAAAATAAAAAAAAGCTTTTTACTCCACTTCTTCAACTCCCCCTTGTTCTTCGAACTTCCCCCGCTCCACTGTGGGACAAACGCATATTCTAGCTAATAAAAAATCGAAAAACATTAAAAAACGTTGATATGTTAATTTTATGATAAATAACATAGAATATATATAAGAACACAAAAAAATAAGCAAATTGTATTTTTTTTTTTTTATTATATTTACAGTGTGTACTTAAGTCGACACCATATGGAACTTTTTTATCATTTGTTTTATGCAAAAAAATTATTCTTCCACAAAAGTTTTGCGTGGTCTAAAACTTGAATTTCAAGCATCAGTCTATCAAATTTTTTAGTAATGTACGAGGGTCGTCAAAAAATATGAATTTTATTCAAGAGAAAATTAGCTTTATTTTTAACAATTTATTTTGCAAATTATTTTTATGATAGAGAGGAAAAAATTAATTATCTAACAGTAGTTTACAACGCGATGTCTCAAGCAGCAATTGAAAATAAATCTTTTCCTATATCTAGTTCATCAATTGCTCATGATTTTTACATGGATGATTACATTTCTTATGAAACTGATGAAATGTCGACAGTTCTTAGAATGAAAGAAGTTTTTTCTATTATAAATTCTGCTGGATTCGTTTTTAGACAGTGGGTAACGAACAGAGATTTGAATTTTGACAATATAAATGATATTGAATATTTTGTTAAAAATTACACAGATTCTAAAATATTAGGCTTACAGTGGAATCCTAAACAAGACATTTTTCAGTTTACACTTAACCTTACTCTTGACCTTAAAAGGAAGGTAACTAAACGAAATTTGCTGTCAACAATTTCTCAACTTTTTGATCCACTTGGTTTGCTAGGTCCAATTGTAGTTACAGCCAAAATAATGTTTCAAGGATTTTGGCAACCTAAGTCTGATTGGGATGATATAGTTCCTGATGAGATTTTTACTTGTTGGCAAAAATTTTTCTCTCGTTTCGCAGAATTACATTTTATAAAAATTCCTTGACATTTTCTTTTATGTCACTACAATTCCATTAAGGCTTATGGAGCTTGCATATATTTAAAATCTATTAACGCTAACGGCGATATTTTTGTTTATCTAAGTTGCTCAAAAAGTCACATGGTTCCATTAAAAACTATAACACTACCACGCTTAGAACTTTGTGGTGCATTATTGCTAGTGCAATTATATGAGCGCCTTATATTATCTCTAAAAAATATTCAATTGGTAATTCTATCAGAGAAAAATCAATTGCAATCATTTTTAACAGATGGTATAATTCAGTGGCACTTTTTACCACCTCGTTTACCATATTTTGGTAGTCTGTGGGAAAATGCTGTCCGTTCAATAAAATATCATCTGAAAAAAAATTACAAAAAACATTTACCTTCCATATGAAAATTTTTATAGTTTACTCACACAGATAGAGTCAATTTTGAATTCAAGGCCTCTCACGCCACTCACAGAAGATCCGAATGGTCTCCAACCTTTGACTCCAAGACATTTCATTATTGGCAAACCCTTTAATACTCTCAATGAAGCTCCTATCAAACCGAGCACAGCTACGTTATCATCTCGGTACAAACACATACAAATTATGGTTCAGCACTTTTGGTCTAGGTAGTACAAGTAATACCTAAGGGGGGGCGGCATGTTCAGTCTGGAGCCGATCCTGTATTAAAACTATAGTTACTTAACTTCTTTTTAGTTGTTATTTTTGTAACACGTCAATTAGACAATTCACCTTTGAGTTTGTACTTTTTTGAGACAAAAATATATTTCTACCCAGCAGTTTTAACCCCAGTTATTTTACTCCGTTTCTTGGTCCACGATCTAAAGATTGAATCGTCCCAGGAAACTCCACACCGGCTTGTATTTAAGTTGCCTATATTCGCAGCACTTAACACTAAAATACAATAATTCCTTTTAATTTCGGGATACATTTTCCCTCTAGTTATTTTAAGAGTCCCTGGGACGTATTGTCCCATTAGGGGCGAAATGATTAATAATTGTTATACCCGAATTGACCATTGATTTTTAATAATTATGGCTTTAAAATGCATTTAATTTTAAAATGTATTTTTCTATCTGGTTAAGAAAAATATTTACTACAAACTAATTGTTATCATTTAAAGAATAATGCTAGATCAATCATGTTAATTTTCTATTAAAAGTTGTTATTTTTTAACGAAACACTTAATTTTATAGAAAAATGTGCTAACCCAGGGATAGTTTCCTTTACATAAAATGCTATAACTCAAACCGAATTACAAATATTTTCAAAATTCAAGTATAATCTCTTTACACAGGAAATCTCTACCGCAGGAAACTTAATTTCTTGTGAAGTGGGTATTTTAGGTACGTGAACTACATTTTGTAAAGTTAATTGTTTTAATTAAATTTGCATACTTGTTAAAGCGGATTACAATCTTACAGCAGGAAAATAGGTTTGTTTTACAATATTACAGAACATCAGATAGAGGGAATGCAATTCCTTTACTTATAAGGATTTACCATCTTTAATTACATGTGATATACGGCTAGTACAAATTTAATTGAACATAATTTGTAAAACTAAACTCTCAGAGATATATGAAGTTGGCTACGTGGAAACAGTTATTTACTCATTTAGGAACTAATGTGGTCGAAACGACGATGTTTTATTCTAGACCATTTCGAGTAATCCTGAGATTCTATACTTAAACTACTCCCAAAATAATGTTTTGCTCAACTATTTTATACCTATTCCCTAAATTAGAGAGGTGATTAATGGTTATAATATTAGAAATATTCAAAATATGTTTGTATTTAGCAACAAGAAACTTACTTATTAAAACGTAAAAAAATTAAATTATAATAATGATTGTCTGGGGAGACAGAAAGACATTTTTACTACATTTAATAATAAATATCCCAATCGAGACCCAATTTCTTAATCCACAATAAGCACGATAGCCAGACTCTTGGTATCTTCTTGCGCATGTAGCTGATTGGTGGTGATGTCACGTGGGATATAGATGTATTAGTATTATATGGAAAATAGTGTTTGAAATTAGATTTTTTTGCTTTTTTTAGGTTTTATTTAGTTACTTAAGCTTTCTGGTATAATTTGTAATATATATGTTTAAAAATATGAAGGTTTAAGGTGAATAATCCTATAAATTATAGGTATTTTGTAACAAAATGCCTGCCCTAGTCATAAGTACAGAACGTGAGTACAGAATATAGGAGAAAAATACCAAATTATTTCTACCATCTTCCTTCTCTTATTATGTAAAATAAAATAGGTACATATTCGCACAAAAAAAATTGGTAACTTTAAATATACTATTTTAGCGCAAAATTAGAACAATGATGATAATACGGAAAATAATCAATTATGTGCTGTCCTATTCATGCATAGGATTACTTCAAAAAGGACATGAAGTTACAGTTTTCTGCTCAAATTTTGAAAATGTTCTTGTCTTTACTTAATAAGATCCCTTGAATCTGATGGAATTCAGTTTCCATTTTTTCAAACTTTCCATAATTCTTGGGCAGGGTTAATTAATCAATCGTTCGAAAGTGTGTGCAACCACTATGAGCCTCTGAAATATTTAGTTGCTTTATGGGTATTTTTAAAGTTGGATATTTATTTTTAATATACTTTCTCATATACTTCAAATTTGTCCATAAGATTTCATCAGAAAGTGTTTATTCTTCTTTATATACAGGCTCAGCAAAATGGCTTTTGTCAAATAGAAGTGTCCTCATAATCTTCTTCAAAATTTTGTGAAAATCGAAAATATAATACATTGTGGAAGGCTTCTGGTTCACCTAGAGGGAATAGAGGGAATCGGCGAGTCTGTGTGGCGCTATGATGGTGATGGTGCTCAGGCGCCAGTTTTGGTATCGCAGTTTGCTCTGCAACCCTGTGGTACACCAGAGTGTACTCAAGGTAAACTCAGTGGAAGTAAAAATAATTCCAGGCGGTCACTGCTAGGTAGCCACTATACTAGAATAAATAAAAATAAAACACTTATCTCCTTTACACCTCGTACCCTACGGTACCCTGAAAGAGAACGGTCAAGAACCAGCAATAAGAGAAACACAGGAATAGGCAATAAAATAT